ACTTCCTCTCCAACATTTGTTGTGTCTTGTCTTTTTGATAACGGCCATCCTCCCAAGCATCAGGTAATAATCACATTGTTATTTTCATTTGAATGTCTAATAAAAGAGATGATCATCTTTTTCTGTACCTATTTGTCATCCACATGCCTTCTGTAGAGAAGTGCCTATCCAAATCCTCTACCAATATTTTTTAATCATTGTTCTGATTTAGAGTTCTGTGTATATTTTGGATCTTAACCCTTTGTCATACAAACACTGTACAATTATCTTCTCCCATTCAGTTGGGTGTTTTTACTTTGATAAAATATTCCTCTGCTGGGCCCTCCCTGGTGGCACAGCGGGTTAAAGCACAGCACTGAGAATCTAAAGCCACCTCCGCATGAGTTCGATTCCCGCCTGCCCCGGAGGAGATCCACATGGCGTGGCAGACCTCTCCTGACCCGCCTGCTGCTCCCCTCAGCAGTGTACTTCGTCTATCTACCTGTTCTGTTCCCCACTCTGTCCCTGGTGAATCCTCTCACCACCCCTGAGCCTCTGGCTTGTACCCCAGTTCTGTATGCACAAATAAGTAAATCTTTAAAAAAAAAAAATATTCCTCTGCTGTGCAGACTGTTTTTAGTTGATTCAGTCCCAATTTTTTTTTTTTTTGCTTGCATGTGACTTGACATTGGATTTGAGCTCCCAAACACATCTATCAGCTAATGTCCAGGTTCATATTGCTTATATTTCCATCTGTGTATTTTCAAGGGATTTTCCGTTTACACTAACATGTCATCTATAGATAATGATAATTTTACTTTTTTTCAGTATGATAATTATTACATACTTTTCAGGTTTAATTGTTCCTTCTAGGGCTCCTATCACTATATTGAATGATAGTAGTGAGAATGGTTACCTTTGTCTTTTTCCTGATCTTAGAGAAAAAGGTTTTCAAATTTTGCAATCCAGTATGATGTTGACTGTGGATTTGTCATATATGGCTCTTATGTTCAGGTACATTCCGTCTATACCCATTTTATTGATAGGTATTAATTTTTCTTTAAACATTTTGTATATTTCAGTAGGTAGGTCACCTGGTCCTGTTTGTTTTTTATATCTGATTAATTTCCTTATTTGTGAAGTGTCTGCTTAGGTATGCTATTTACTCCTAATTTAGTACTGTAATTGTTTCTAGGAATGTCTGCTTATTTTAGTTTATCCAACTATAGCCATTTAATATTTTCCTATACACTATTATGATCCTTTGCATTACTTTAGTATCTTGTATAGAATCTTCTTTACATTTTATTTATTTTCTCTCTTCTTTGTGAGTCTGGATAAAGGCTTATCTATTTTGTTAATCATTTCAAAACATCTCATTTCTCAATGTTTTCGGTTTTCTTTTTGCTCTTTATATCATTCATTACTGCTTAAATTTTATCATTTCCTTCTACCTACTGACTTTTTCTTGTTTTTGTTTTTGTTCTTCTGGCTCTGTTAGGTGTGAGTTTAGGTTTCTTATTTTTTATTTTTCTTGTTTCCAGAAGTTGACATTCTTTCTTATGAAAATCATTGTTTGCACAGATTTTGCCACACCCCAGATATTCTAATAAGTCATGTCTTCATTTTCATTAGTCATCTTGCTTTTTTTTAATGTCTAGTTTAATATCCTTATTGACCCATTAGTTATTCAGTAACATGTTACTTATTCTGCACAAATTTTTGGTTTCCCGTCTTTTTTTTTTTTTGTCTCCTAATTTCATTCCATTATAATTTAAAAGATTCATTATATGATTTCAAACTTGGTATTTTTTTTTTTTTTAGATTTGATATGTGTGAACAATGTTTCTTCTGGTGTTTTGGAATAGGAAGTTCTGTAAATATCTATTAGCTACATAGTGTCCAATGTGTCACTCAAGGCCATTTTTCCCCTGGTGATTTTCTGTATAATTAGTTGTAATTAGGGTACTAAAATTCATTGTTTTATGTCTCTTAATATTTGCTTAATAAATTTTGGTGCTATTATAGGTAAATATATATGAATAATTGCTGTTTTCCTGTTGAGTTGATCTTTTTATCATTATATAACATTAACCTGTCTATTGCTGTCCTTTATAGCTGTAAATAAATATTAACGGATATAAGTCCAGTGGTTCCTGTCTTTTTGAACTGCTATCAGCTTGGAATACAAATTTCTATTCCCATAGTTTTCCTTATGACCTGAGTCTCTCATGCATAACCATTTAGTTTTTAATTCTAACCAGAAGAGAATGTTTTTATTTTAATATCTTGGGTTACATTTTTCCCCTTACATATGTACATGTTTCACTCCCCCAGCACTAAACTGACTTTGCCCATAACCCATCTGGTCCCTCCACTATCCTTCTCACTCCCCCACTCCTATTCTCTCCGGTGACTATTATGTTCTTTCATTGAGTTCAAGATATATTCCTATTATACTTTGCCTGTATGTGTTTTTATTTTTTGGCTATTTATACTCCACATGCCAGTGGAACCATCCATTATGTGTCTATTTTTCACTAATTTCACTTAATATGATCACCTCGAGGCGATCCGTTTGTCCCAAATGTCACTATTTCATCATTTTTTTGCAGCTGTGTAGCACTGCATTGAGTAGATATCTCACAGTTCCTTTA